AAAAAGGAATGCTAAACTGAAAATGTTATTACAAATGATGCATGTTCATCACAGTATCAATAAATAAATAACCCCTTAAAACTTTAGAATTCCTTGAAAAAAATACTGCAGTCTTTTCTTCCCTAAATCTCAGCTCCCCAAAATATTACTAAACAGAAGTGCATGTGTTCGGTACAATATAACAGGCAGCAATATGTTGAGAAGCTTCACAGCGAGAGGTCTCTGGACCACTTCTCTCGCTCCCGAGAGTCGATTTATCAGAGAGAAGGAACCGAGCTTCGGAGTTTATTCTAGGACCATTTTCTCCTTATCTCCGGTGACTAATGCTTTAGAAAACAAAGGGGCGCATCCAATTTCACAGGAGGTAAAGTCCATCGCTAAGACGAGAGCAGCAGTTCTAATATGGCCCCACTCCGAGGCCCCGGTTCGGTGCACTGCTGGCTCCCTCCTGGGCCCCCGCTGAGTTCTGCCAATGCCCATTCTGTGCACAGAAGGCTAACCTGCAAATTAGGAACAAAGTCCAGAAATACTGCTTGTGTCCTGCTTCTACACTTACAAAAACTCGACATGGATACAAATTCTACAGGAAGTTCACTCGATTTCAAAGAAATATTTATGGCTATTTTTAGCAAGCTTTTATAGATTTGTTAAAAGTTCATCTCAGGAACATTGAAGATGATCTCGGCGTAAACAGAGCGGCTTGGCCTCTACAGCAGAAGCTTTGTCAACTGAAGGAAACCAGAAACGGCTCACGCTGCTAAAAGCGATTTATTATGTTTCTAATGACTATTTTACTGTTGGGAAGGATTCATTGAGGACACCCCAAACCCCATTTCCGAGGTCAGTGTGACATGGGAGATAGGTTAGTTCATGAACACACTATGACTCATCGAACAGTTCTTTAAAAAATTATTCTCTTTACATCCTGATTGCTCTACAAATATTTGGATAATATAAAAAATAAAATTGTTCTTTGCCTCATGATTTTTAATAAAAAATTAAGCTAATATATAAAAGTGTGAAAATGCAAGAAAGCCACTATATCTGATAATAAGGTGTCACACACTGTAAAATTTCACGTGATAAGAACCAAATAACTTGGCTCCCAGGTGACAGCTGCCTTCTTCAGGTGTCCCTGGTGGTACAGTTTATCCATCAGCAATCCAAGCTCAGGATGATGGGTTTGAGAGAAGAATGGAAAAGCTTAGCATTTGGGAATTTTTTACTCTGAAAGAAAACACTTGAAATGAACCTAAAGAATTTTTTTTTAATTATACTTCAAACGGGAAGGCAAGACCTAATTTACAAACATCTGACATCCAAAGTGTAATATCTTTTCCTCCCCTCCCAGAACATGAACCCCAGTGCCTGTCTAAGAGACACGCTACAATAAAATACATTTTGAACTCCAGCTGACAAGGAGGAACCAAATCGAGGGCCTGGAGCGAGGCAGAGGCCGGCCGTCACCCCCAGGCACGCAGCCAGCAGGCAAAGCCTCGCCCGCAGCCACGGCTGGACGGGGACTTCAGGAGAGGACAGGACAGGGCTGGGAGGGAGAGCGGGAGCGAGTAGCATCTGCTCCTGGTTTTTCAAAGCAGGGTAGAGTTTAGACAAAATGCATAAGAATTCAAAATGGAAATACTCCTCATGGCTCAGAGATTCTCCCCAAACTCTGATCTGCTTCTGTAAGAAGCAGCTCTGACCCGGTTACATCAAGAGAGACGCTAACCTAATACCAGTAAAGACAGCAGCCCTGGCTGTTCCTAAAGCGGCGGGCTCTGGAGGCACACGGTTCACCTTTGAAATTACCCCTTCGGGAACAGAGCCTGAGGCTGGCCACTGACCCCTTCTCCCCACGTCTGGCCATGTCCAGAGCAAGCCCGGACCTGCTGGCCACCATCTGGGGGGGCCAAGGCCCTGCTGCTGACTGTGAAGTTCTCTGCCTCTGGCTCCTGCTGTGCCTCTGTCAGACAGCAAACACACACCCTTTATCAGAGCATCCTTCCTGGGCTGAGTCGGGGAAGCACACACTGGTGACCCCTGGTGCAGGGCCTGGGCCCCCACTGAGCTGCCCTTGGCCACCCGATCTTTTAGCATGCCAGCGACAGCCGTGCTTCCAGGATGGGAAGCAGGGAAGCAGGCTGCCCAGGCCCAGGTCTACTTGGCCCGGCTGCCCTGGGCTCCGGGATGGTGCGGGAGCTTCAGGTATCAGAGGTCAGCATGGGAGTACAGAGGCCACGGCAGGACTGAGGCCCTGGGCTCAGAAAGGGTTTCCTGGCCACGGTGGACTTCATTCGTTGCAAAGGGAACAGGAGTGCAGCAGTGGAGGTCTCCGCTAGGAAGGGAGGACCTGTGACGACCCCTGTGCCATTCCCACATCGGGCCGGGCCCTGCTCCCCTGTGTCCTCTATGCCTCCTGCCTTGTTCTTGGGCTGGCTCTAACATGCTCTGACCTAACCACTGGGCCGCACTGCCTGGCTCTCTGACCTCGAGCTCTGACTTCACTGCCCTCTGTGTTAAGAGGGTGCTGATGCCATTTTACTGGTTGTAAATCAGAGGACACAGCAGATTGAGAAGCCCTTGCTCGCGGTGGACCCCAGCAGAGCTCCCCCACCACACAGACACCCTCCCTTCTCTGTTTCTTTCTCCTCCATGCCTGTTTCCGCAGGGGCTGAGCAGAGAGCAGTGCGGTGCGGCTTCTCCCTGTCCTCCTGCGGACACCTCGGGCTCCGTCCAAGCCACACTGCTGCTCCTGCTCCGGTGGCCTTTCGCTGACTCCCGGAGCATGCGTCTCCAGGTGTCTCCCAAGCCGAGCATGTGCTGCTGATCTCGAATCCCAGTCCCCTGGGAGCTGGAGGCTTCCTCAACAAAGAGCCAAGTTGAAGGGCATTTTCACCGCACTCCAGAGACATGGGGCTTGGGAGCACCCTGGACCCAGAGGGCACCTCCGCCCCAGGCGCCACACTGAGCCATGCAGAGCTCGGGCGGCTCCAAACCCTCATCTGTGTCCCCGTCCCGCTCTGGTAGACAGGTGGCTTCTTTTCACCTTTAACTTCATTAGAGCTCGGCAAAGGAAGAGGTAAACACTACCGCGTTAGAGCTGGGGCTGCTGGCTTTGGGAGGGCTTCCCAGATGCCATTCCTGACACCATAAAAAGAGCGCCTCAAGTCATCGTGCGTCCCTTTTATGGCTCCACTGCCCAGGAGAACAATGCGGAGCATTGTCATCCACTGGGACCAACCTGGGACCAACGTTTGTGGTCCCGGTGACACATCGGGTCAGCCTCTTACAGGTTGATAATTTACAAGAATTTGGGTGTAAATGTGTATTTATTTTTCACTTAGATTTTCACGGTCTCTTTTACTCTAAAGAACCCTTTTTATGTGCATTTTTATTCCTGGAATGAGGCCGTAACTGCCTGTCTCAGACTCACCACCGGCCTCCGACCGAAGCCCGCCTCCCGCTCAGCCTGCGAGCCTCTTCCTTCGCCCCACGAGGGTTGTTTTAATTCAGAGCCTCTGAAGGAGCTGTCAGGACCCGACTGCCACCTTCCCGGGGCCACGTGCCCAAGCCGCGGGCACTGGCAGCAGCCGATTGTAAGGGCGATGCTTCGCTGACTAAATTACAAAATAGAACGCCCCTCTGGGCTGGGGGCGCAGCTCAGCGCCAGCAGGATCCCATGTGGAGTTTACAGTAACCCGAGCTGCCCATTCCAGGCAACCCGGCTTTTTGCACTTGGAAAGAGGTTCTGGTTCATTCAATTGATATCAACTCTATCAAAATTAGCAGAGATCAAAGCCCTCAAAGTCTTGGCAGCCCTGATTTCTATTAAAACCTTCCCTGGACTTCCTGGCTGGGTGGACCATTCCCAAGAGAGCCGGGCAGTACCCACAGCTCAGAATCTGTCACCTGGCCCTGTTGATTAAGCCGAGCATTGAAACCATGTTCCAATGGTGGTGACATCATTTGTACTGGGCCCACAAAAGATGAAAAGAAAATTATTAATAACTAAGATTTAGGAAGAATATTCTTCTGCCAGGTTTCACTGACTTCTGTGCAAATTGCTCTTAAATCTAAGAATCAGAAATCTCAATACTCACGCAAAAGTTTTTGAATATGATAAAAGAAAATCGAACAGTGAATAATTATCCACTGATGATTAAATTTTTCTTTCTGTAATCAGTCAGTGATCAGAAGACTAACCCACAAATTATTCACAGACCACAAGGGAGGCCAGCTAACATTTCAATAAAAGCATATTCTATGAAATCCTTATCAAATGAACAAAAAAACCTATCCCTTCTCCTCTGTGGTCAAGGAGCCCACTTTGTTAAATCAGGAAGATTATTTTGCTTTTTGTTCTGAGAAACCTGTTTACACTTCACTATCATTTAACAATTTTTAAGAGAAAATATTTTTTCTCTGCATTTGTCTGGAAATTCTGACTTTGATCTCTGTTTTCAAAGGCCAGTGCTCTGTTCTCCCCTTATCTATCTTATTTCTCAGTTTTTCAAAGCTAAATTTTTCACTCTTAAAACCTTGTTTTCTGTTCACTTACTAAGCAAGCTGCAGATGAGATCTGTAAAATTTACAAATTTACAGCTTTCAAGTTAAACACTTCTACCAGTGAATAAAAAACAATGCACTTTAATGCCCTGGGCTTTTTATAATTATTCAGCACATTTTAATTTTACCTTCAGAGGAAAAAAGCAAATAATAACATAACATCTTAACATCCACGCTACACCATGAAATAAAAACAACTCATAACTTTTACTCCTATTTCACCAAGTTTTTTGTTAGAACTTTTTCCTGGCTATTTAAATATGCTTAAACTAATGGTTTTCTGTAATTTGTCCTTTTTTTTTCCTTTGGAAACATACCGTGCTATTGTTAGTTTTTAAAAAGAAGCAATTTTCTGACTTTTGAGATTGAGTAGGTCAAGGAAAAATTACTACTGTTGAAAACCCGTAATTAAATAGAAAATGCAGCTGCACTTATGAGAAACTAAAATTAAGTTTATTCTATTAATACTTGATTCTGAAATGCACTTTTGAATTTTCGGCTAAGGTTTCATTTAGAGCCCTGCCTTATCTACGCTCTAGCCTTGCTGATTACTTTTAATAAGTAACATGTAAGAATATAATAGTTCCGTGCTGATGGGGAGACATTTCTGGGCTCTTTGCTTTTTAAAATATCATTTTCAGAAGTATTTTTAAACAAACTGAAATGAAATGATGAAATATTCTTTGTCAATTTGCATTTATTCTTATTATAATTATTCTAAATAAACATTTATTCTTACTATAATTATTCTAAATAAATATATGGCCTCCTTAAACATTAAAATTTTGTGCACAAAAACACACTTTAAGCACAAAGCATCATGATAGTTGCATGCAAATTAGTATTTTAGAAAATAAAATCTCTAACTTTCTTTTTGTATGTTCACTCTCATTGGTTTTTAAGTATTGCATACAGCATTTTATTTCACTGAGTCCTCATAAAGAGGGAATTACTAAGAATACAAGCTAATTGTTGAATTCGTGAAATTACTAGATCTCTTTTCTGATCACAGCTCCTATATGAACAATTCATCAAATTAGGTTACATTTAAAGAGTTAAAATATTGCACATCGACACAAATCTTATAAACAAATACAGCCATTTAAAACAATTTTAAAAAGTCATAATATTTATCTCTGCTTAATTTTAATGGTACATTTTAACGAATCAAGACAAACACCCTTTAACCTCCCCTACAAAACTCTTGGATGAAAATGTGAATAACATTTACATAAAATTAGGTATATTGTGAAAGCCTTATTAAAGCAAATGTATGAGTACTATAAAATTATTTATGGATGGAAATAGTAATTTCCATTTAGAAGCTGATGCTGTACATCAGAATATACATACGTGTCTGTTAGATTTTAATCTAAAGCTTATTATCTTTCATAAATATATTTTAGGTAGCAAGGTAATTTTTTTAAAGTAGTAATTTAACTGTAAATATACCTAAAAGCTTAAACGTTGAAACTTTGTTTTACTTTGAGAGTAAAAAAAAAAAAAAAAACTTGCTCTGAAAAACAGTGTTCTGGTTTTGTTTTCGTTTTTGTTTAGAATTGTTTCAAACACATTTTCATCCCAAGTGTTGATTTCTTTATTCTGAAGCACTTGCAGTGGCTCTGGAGCCCCGGAACGTGGCGGGAAGAGAGGGATATACACAGTCAGCATTCTCTCCAGGACTGGCCTGCCCGGGAAGAGGCCACCAGCAAGTGGCAAGGGCACAGGCTTTGAGTGGGGAAACTGCACCAGAGCCAGGGCTTGGAGCAAGGCCTTGGCCTTGGCCTTCCAGTCCTGCGTGCTATCTGCACTCGTGGGTCACTTCCGGTCACTTGCTGGTGGGCTAAGGCTGCTGGAATTCAGTTTGCCAGACGCTCGTATTCCACAAGAGAACCTGTGGCAGCATCTCTCACCCATGCCGTCCTGGCTAGGCTGGGCACCCAGGGGCTCTGCAGCAAGGGTCCACGCTGGGGAAACAGCATCCAGGGGCAGGAAGAGGACAGGCCGGCTCACGGCACACCAACCATTACAGCTTTGGTGACATAACCGGGCCTGTCTCACACAGACACAGACATAACTAGCTAGGATTCAGCTCCAAAACAATTGCACCTGACGCCATGTCCTTGTAAACACGTTAGGACTCCAGCGAGGGCGGGTGAATCACGGTGGCGCTGCCCGCCACTCCCTAGTGCAGGGGGTGGGAACCAGGGCCAGCATCCTGTGCAGGGCTGATTTTAGTGGGGACTTCTGTTTTGTTTGCTTTGGTTTTGTCTTGTCTTTTCTTGTGCCTAATTAAAAGCCTGTCTGCATGACTATCTTTGTGCCTACGAGAGAAAGAGAGAGAGGAAAGTTGCTTGAATTGCTAAAGTAAATTGTAAAATCAGGCCAGATCAAATAAACCTTAAAGAGGTACATTTTAGTGTCATTCTTTTCCGCGTTTATTCCTGTAAGACACTCAAATCAACATTTATAAATGTCACGTTCGGTGACCAAAAATGTCTATAAAGTCCATTTACTAGATTACTGCAGAACAATAGATATCAGGTTTCCACAAAGATGAATGTAATTTTCTAGGGCACATTTTAACCATATCTGAGAGTATCTGGCATACTCATGCAGGCTGTAAAATGCTTCTGATTCTCAGGCTACTCTTTCAGAGCAATCGAGTCCGTGTCACCTGCGCCTGGGACAGAGTCATTGCCATCCGCCTGTCGCGGTCTCTGCACACAAGAGGTGCAGCCAGTTGACAAATTCAGGTTTGGAAATGACAACAGTTCTTTATTTTAAAAAAAAAAAAAAAACCTGGTATGATTAGACTGAAAGCTCCTCTGATGCATATTCATCAGCAAGCAGCAATCAGTCAGGAGGCTTCCCTAAAACTTTTCTGATTCACAAATAATATAGTATTTACAAAGAAGAAGTTGTGGGAAGCAGCAGTAAACAATCTCGCCATCCATCTGTTATTACAGAATCCAGAAGAGCTGAATCAGAATCCAGGATAGAAAAGATGCTCGGGAGATGTTACTGAAATAATTATTATCCAAAAATGTCAGGTTTCCACTGTTTAGGAGTCTCAGTCATATGTGGTTGGTATGAAATGCATTCACCTGGGAGGATAAGTGCGGGGGAATTAAGAATTTGTTAAATCCTATTAGGATCCAAATGCAGGTTTTTAAACAGCAAGGCAGAGTGATCTTCAGTCTGTAATTACAGCTAACGCCCCCTCCCTCCCGGACCTTGGCCTCAGCCCCACCGGTCCACACAACACACTTGCGTGCACAGCTGTTTTCCTTCCGGGCCTGGGAATTACTCCTCCAGCTGAACTTGCTAGATACTCATCAAAATTTTTAAAATTTTGGAAAGAACCAACCAAAAAATGTGTTCATGCCCAGGCATTTTAAGTGTGAGACAGGCTTTGTTTCAGATTTACTCTGATAGGACCGAAATGTTTCTCTTCCTGCGTTCCCTGTCTGAAGCTGATGTGGATAAATTCACCCAGCCGTGAGTCAGAACCACAGCTGGGAAGCAGGCTGTCTAACCGGGAGCGGCTCCTCACATCCAGAGAGGAGGCAACGCAATACTTCAGGCCCTTCCAATAGCACCCGCGCGACAGCGTGTTGAAATTATTCTATGACTTTTCCTCAAGCATACAGCAAACCCAGCCCAAACCGAGCCCCGCGAGACCCCGCCGGTCACGCAAGCGCAGGCCGGCGTCCGAGCGCCACCGAGTCTGGTCTTTGCCGATTTGCACGCGCTTGCACACGCTTGCACTGAGCTGCTCTGATCTCCGCAGGGCACCGCGAGCTCTGCAGGGCTCGAGCGAGACGCCGGCAACAGCGCCACCTGCCGGCGCCGGGTGGAGCCGCGCCAGCGAGCGCTCCGCGTGCCCGCCTGCTGCAAACCCCGGTCCGCGGCCGCGCGGCCTTCCCGCAGGGTCGGGGGCAGCAGGGGTGCTGGGGGCCGTGGGGGCCAGGGCGGGGACACCTAGAGGGACTCTGATGCGGCGTCCCACGGGCTCGGCTTCCAGCCCGCCCCCCTTTCACCTTAGGTGCCCAGCACCCTGGCCTGCTCTGCCCGCTCCCTGCGCCCCGCTGGCGCTGCGCCCCTCAGCTGTGCGCCCCCTTTCCCCGCCCCGGAGCCCCGAGCTGCACATCTGGAATTCGTTTCATATTTTAATTCCCTTCTCCTTTCCTACCTCCTCTTTTCCTTTAACTGACTCCTCACGGTCTAAACCACCATTATATTTTCTAATATTTTCCAAATATGTAAAATTCAACAATTTGTAAAATGTAAATGCACGACTGCAATTGCTCTGCAAGCCTCTCTCGCCGGAAACCCTGTCTGCTGTAGGCGACCCCTGGAAGGAAAGCCCCAGCTTGCCGGTACATTCGGCGACAGATAAATAACCGAAATAGTGAAGTCTCTCTCAGCCTCTCAGTGTGCTCTGCACAGCTACACACCATGTGCAGTCACGGTGACACGGACGGGATTCTGCCTCCAGCACGGCTTTCAGGCTTCCACGGAACAGGGCCGGCCGGGCCGTGGGTGGCTGGCTGGCCAGAGGGACGTGGGACACAGGTAGGACAGAGCAGGCCCAGCGAGGGCCGGGCGAATGGCTCCCACTGACCATGCAGGTTTTTACAGGACGGAGGGGAGGACAGGAGCAAATTCCCGGGCGGAGGAGTGCACCCAGGGCTGTGAGCCTTTGTTCTTCTAAAAAAAAAGAAATATATATATATATATATATATTTTTTTTTTTTTTTTTTTTTTTCCTTTAGGTCGGAGCCCATCAGATTTTACTCAGGGCGGTAGATGAGTGACAGGCGAGGCCTAGCAAATGCTGAGAGACTGTAAGCAAGCAAAAAAAGAAACCAGTGAAAAAGGAGAACAAAATTTTGCAGAGGAGGGGCTGGGCGGGGAGGGGACCCCAGGAGAGGCACCTGGGAGCTTTGCCATCCAGGAGTCTGCGCTCCACACCAGAAAGGGAGCAGAGCCCCATGGAGCGCAGCTGCAGCTGCCCTGTCCTCGGGGGCCCAGGCTGCTGAGAAGCCCCGCAGTGCAGGGGGTCCCAGACCAGGGTCCACAGAGTCCCTGGGGACTTCCCAGAAGCCCGGATGCCCGGGTCAGAGCGCACCCTGGAAACACAGCACCCCAGCCCAGCGGGCCTGCCGTCCCTGCACACGTGAACGCGCTCACGGGTCCCCGAGGGTGCAGCTGCAGAGCAGAGGGGCCCTGGGCCGCCTAGAGCACCCCGCTGGCGGGGCCCTGCTCGCCCCTGAGTGGTGGCCTTGGCTCTTGACCTCACCCCGCCTGTGTCTCGCCCCGGCTTCCTGCCGCCCCACGCCCGTTCGCCTGCGCCTGTGTCACGCGTCTGCTCCCTGCTTCTGCGAGCCACCGAGGACGAGGACGAGCTCCTTCCTCCCCCGGCTTTCGCTCTTCCTTTGTGAAGTGGGCTTTCTCACAAAGCCGCCGAGAGGATCAAGTGAGATAATGCGAGCAAATCCCTCGCTCGGCGCCTGCCAAACAGCGCTCCAGAAATGTCAGCCGTTATTATTATCCATTTATTCATGAGTTAATTCCCTGCCAACAGAAAGGATTTTCAGAAAGGCTTGGGAGAAAGAAAGTATCAAGAACTCGATTGCGGTAGCCTGCAAGGGGCCATCCTCTGGGAAAGGGGACCGCGGTGTCTCTGGGGGCAGGAGAAGGTGGACACAGGCCCGAAGCAGGCAGCACAGACTCCCAGCCCAGAGGCTTTCCCTGCCGTCAGCCCTTGGCCCGATGAACCTGCAGGTTTGAAAGACCAGTAGAGGCAGGAGGCAGGGAGAGAGCTTTTGCAAGGGGGAAGCGGACTGAAAGGCAGTGTAGAGGCTTCCGTGCCCAGCCCAGCGGCCAGCCCAGCGCCCACGAGGAGCGAGATCACTATGTCTTGCAAACATGGACTGATGAAAATAAATCTGTTTAAAAACTAATGAAGTAAAAATTAAAAAGTAATAGAAAGTGAGCATCTGGAGAAACAGAAACATGCTCCCAGGGAGGGACAGCCTTGCAGTGCCAGCACGCCAAGGACCAGTCCTTGTCCCCCACGTGGTCACAAATGCTTCCCCAAGCCCCAGAGGCACTCCTGGAACAGGACCGGACAGGGAGCCCTGGTTTGCAGCGACCCCCACTGCAAGCTGTCAGGTTGGGAGGAACCAAGTTGTTGCACACACACACACACACACACACACACACACACACACACACACACACACCAAAGGTGAGCACCACAGGAGAACTTCATGGCGGGGCTGCCAGGCAGAAGAAAGTACGCAGGAAGGCGGGGTCGCTTCTAACTGGGTTACGCGCTTGATCTTCGAGCCGCCGGAGTCTGAAAGGCAAATTAACCTCCGAAGCCCTTAATAACCATGATGACGGGGTAGAGAGCCCATCGCTCTGGGGAGGAAGGACTTCATCCAAGGCCAGGAACACTAGATGATTGGCCATTATGTGTAAATTGGGATCTGTTTTCCCAATCATCAACTTGTTAATTTTCAATGAAATTATTTCAAAGAAATTTGAGTTTCCTAAACTCTCTCTCTGTACCTCTCCCCCTCTCTTTCCCCAGACGGACATAATGTCAGTGCTGGAAAGGAAGTATTTACACCTTTCTTCCAACAGTTAATTACTACCTGTCAGATTCCAGGCAGCTGAGAGGAACCCACCGAGCCTGTAGCTCCTCTGAAGAGGAGCCTGCACCTTCCCTCCTCAGAGAGCACAGTGCGTGGCTAGGCCATGGTGGCGGTTTCATCAGAAATCAGTCAACAAAGGCACCCAGATGCAGGGAACCAGCCATCACCCCTGCTATCCCCGGGTTCTGCCACAGCCCTGACCTCTAGGCCCAGCTGACTCTCTTGGCCTGAGGGTCTCAGTGAGACGGTTCAGGTTCAGTTACATTCGGGCCTCCAAGATGGGGCCTTGTGTCCCTAAGAGGAGAGAATCCCGACGCACAAGTAGTCACTAGGGCCGTGCGGTCACTTGTGTGGTCCCCTGGGACACAGGGGAACAACCCAGTGCAGGAGGAGAAGGCCTCAGGAGACCTGCCGGGGTGCTCCTGCTACTGCTGCAGCCGCCCAGGCCGCGGCCCTTTGCTCTGCTGGCCCAGGCAGAGGGCAGTGCCGGCCAGAATCCATGGGCCGAGCCCCTCTGGTGCTGCTCTTTATCCTCCCCTTCCCAGGAGCCAAAGCCTGGCTCAGGCCCAAGCCCTCTGGACCCAGAGTTGCCACCCTTTGCAAGGAGCGTGTGTGAGCGTGTGTGCATGTGTGACAGGCCGTGACCAAAACTACTTCCCAGCGAGTTACAGAGACAAAACACTTGCAAAAGTGCGTGCCAACTTGTTACACTCTGCTAACTCCCTGCAGAGCCAGTCCAACAAAGTAGAACTTCATTATATCAGGAAACACAGTTTGAACAAAATAGTACTTCTCTACATTGAAAGATTAGTTCTGCCTGGATCCAGTACACATGTCATATTTCTGGAAAGTCATTTGACACAAATCAGTCTAAAAAATAAAACAAGCAGGTGCATAATGTATTACTCAGAATAAAATAAACATGGCTTCATTTCTGAGCGCCAGGGTTTATTCCGCCCATTAACAATCCGTCCGCTCCCGTGTGCTTGGCGCCCTCTAGAGTCCACTTGGGGAAAGGTCCGTTTTGCAAATCAGCAGCTCCCTGGCCGGTTTCTCTTTCAACCCCTGAAAATTGCAGAAGGTACGACAGACTCCTTTCTCCACGTGAACTACACCAGCTGGAAAAGCATTGATTTGTTAAAACATATGTTGGGTTTCAGCGTTTCAAATCCCAGTTCTAGGCACTCTGACCACCTGGATTTTGCAGCTGACCTTTCTGCAGATTCCGGGAGCCAAAAGCTGTTTCCTCTCTGTTCATCGGTACATTGATGTGTGAATGCCTAAAATTTTAGTCCTACAATGTCTCTCTTCCCAGCTAATTGTTAAAAAAATTTTGTTCCAATTTGTACAGAAAAATACATACTGTATTTTTGCAAATCAAACCACACAGCTTGTTCCAGGCAATGACCAGATGTTTCTATTTTGCCAGAGACACCAGTTGTTAATGCCACTGTTGCTCCTCCCAACAAAAAGATGAATGAATAGAGGCAAAATGGCGAAAGGTAACCTTGTGCAGGCTGGTGCAGTGCGTCGGTAACTACAGCACGAAAGGTCGCTCTGCACACTAGTTCATTCCCCAGTTCAGATCTAACAGGGCACCGCCTCAGCTGTTCCCATATGTGATGTAGCTTTCATAAAACATGGATCGGCATTTCTATCACAAGCCATCCGAGCCTATCCCGAGCGCTCGTTTCTGAAATTAGTCCAAGTATTGCACATCAGAACCTAACCTCCCCTCTGCATTTGTACCGTTCTCAAACACTTAGTGACACGCAGCAGGGCCCAGGCCTGTTCCTCTTTGGTGGGCGTGAAAGGGCCCATGGGAACTCACCAAACTCAGCTCTGAAGCAGGACTGGTGAATTCACCAGTAAGGGCTGTGTCAGGAGCGTGCAGAGATAAAGAAAGCCAAGCAGGCAGCAGAAATAACATGCAAGCCACGAGGAGTGACAGCCGTGGGCCCAGAGCTGGCTGGACTCCACAGGTGTGGTCACGGAGCTGGGTAAGAGCACTGGGCAGGGGGTGCTGGACCAGGCCTCGAGCAAGCAGAGTCGAGCGCAGTCCCCAGCCCTCCAGGAGCTCGGGCGCCGACCCCATGAACCACCCAAGGGATGACACAGGACACAGCTCTGCAGGGGGCACGGGGCACGATGCCTGTGGTGTCTGTGTTTGCCGCCGGGCTGGCGGGAAGCCACCCCTCAGCCTCGAAAAACATCTCATTCCTCAGACTCCAGAGTCACCATGAAACTGAAAACAAAAGCCGTCGTCTAGAAGAACCAGTGTCTGAACTTCAGAGGACGACTCTTCTCCAGGAGGAGCAGGCCTGGGTCGCTCCTCTGCGTGTGCACTCACACATGTGTGTGCACACAGTGCTCCCAATCCGAGGACACCAAGCTCTGTGACACACATATGCTCTTCCACGGATGCCCCTGCTCAGTGTGTAAGCCACATTTTAGGGCACCAAAATAAAAGGACTCAGTATTACATCCTCCCCCCATTCCAAAGCTTTCCACTGCAGATTCTAACACTAAACCCTTCACCTTCCAAATAAAGGACACTGAGGCCAGCAAGTGTCATGGGGCCTCTCGGGCGGCCTCCACACAGGAGTTGGGGACAAGAAGATGGGGCACCCAGCAGGCAGGGTTTGTGGCCAGCATCCTCCATGGCAGGAGCTGACCTTAAGTAAGTCCTCTCCCCGTCCTCTGTCCACACACATACTCTTGGTTGTGCTCCTCTGTGGGACAGTGATGTTCACACCTATGTGAGTTTTGTGTGGCTTTACACACGTGATGCCTATAACTGCATCCTGCAGGCATCTCACCATCAGATGCTGGGTACCCCTGGCATGGGTTGCGAGAGCCAGGGTTGGGAGGAGACTGGCTTCTGGCCACCAAGCCCACTCTCTGCTGGGGCGGAAGTGGTGCTGACTTGTGGGCTCCCCCAACCCTTGCCCCCTACCGGACCCCAGAATCCTCACCACCAGTGCAGCTTCCCCACTTCCCAGAGGAGCCAGGGTACAACCTGCCTGCCTCAGCCTCCTGGGCCGTGTTGAGACTCCTCCTGTCACCACTTCCCTGGGGGCGAGGGCACTGCAGTCAAACCCATGGCCTTCACGCTGAGCTGCACCCCCAGCCCCTTTTTTAAAAAAATTTTTTTCATTTAAATCAGGTCTCACTAAGTCGCCATGGTGGGGCTTGAACAGGCAATCGCCCTGCCTCAGCCTCTCAGCGTGCCAAGATGACAGGAGAGCTATATCACTGGAGTTTTAAAATATGAACGCAGTTGCCCTGGGTGCCATGGGGCTGGGCGTCAGGATCCCTGCGGGTCCCTGCTCCGAATCCCCCACTCAGAGCAGCACAGTGCCGCATCTGCCCATCCGTGCTCCCCAGAGCGCTTCACACCCTCTCTGGGTGAGTCGGACGCGCGTGCAGAGGCTGGGCCACGTGAACCCTGCTACGCCGTTACTGCGGTGCCCTCAACGGCCCTGCGATTCTGACCTTTTGGCCGGCAGATTCCCAGACTCCTGGGGGCTGCCTCTGCCCTTTCAGCATGGCTGAGGACCTGGCACAGCCTCCCGTCTCCTGTGATTCCTCCACGATCTCAGGTGCAGAGCTCTCCTCACACGCTTCCGAAAACACCAGCCCAGTCCTCCGCCCATCCCAACCTCTGGTGTCACCACTGCGACTGGGCAAAGACCAGAGCCGGTCGGTCTTCCCATGTCCGGCTGTAACGCAGTGTCGTCTGTTCCATTCCTTTTGCTGCAGAGGACACGATGTCCTGTTTTCTGTGGCTGA